CCGAAAAGATCGATTGAATTGAACACTCGTCGCAATGCCCTCCCCAGCTGGTAGCTGTACCTGGTCTGCTGTGCTGCGGGATTCTGTCAGCGTGGGCACAAGGCCTGGTGTCAGGAACCTGCTGGGTCCATCTTGGCCAGTCGTGTCATTCAGGTCGTCTGGCGGGTTGGCTCTGAGCACAGCGTCTGCTCGTCCTTGCTGCACGTGTGCCACGTTGCGCAGTCTATCCACGTCAGGCCAGGAGAGCTTCAGAACCTCGACCGCCGCCTGTTTGGCCAAGCCCTGACATGTCAGCAAAGGGGACAGCGAGTCATCATTGTGCCTGTTGACCCACCTGTGCGGACGGTGCCCTCCCATTGGCTCCCAGTGAGGGGGCGGCCTGCCAGTTCTCCCATTTCAGAATCAAACACTGCCTTCCTGTCTCAGTAACCATAGCTTGGCATTGGCTGTCTATCACCAAGATGCCCTCAGAAGCCCTTGCTACAACCGTTTGGACCCAGCCTCAAAGAAATCAGCCATGTTGGTTTTGGTCCTGGAGTCACGTATCTTCCCAGATTGGGTTGGGGTTGCTGTCTACCTCTGCTGAGGTAAATCAATCCTTTTATCACAATCCAACAAATGGGAATTGCCTTCTCTTTGATGGAAGGAGTTACTTGGTGGGAGTGGGGTTGCGGGAGCAGGTGGTCTTTGTGGGCTTCGGGGGTTGGGGGGGTCACAGAGCTGAACCCCAACAATTGTCCATGTCTCCAAGAGGGGGCAGCACTCCCTGTAGCTGGGGGGTGGGGGAGGGGTTTCACTGATGATGAGGGTTAGGAGCAGGGGGACAGCTGTGGGCCGAATTGCTTTTCCCCACCCCCCCAACTGCCGGTTCTTTTACCTGCAGGTGCTGCGAGCAGGCCAGGGGCCACTGGCTTCTGGAACTTTCTCTGATGGCATGCCACAGACCTTCAGCAGTCACTTGCCCTGGAGGGACAAATGAGACGACAGGTGAAGCTGACCAATGGAACGTCCTGGAATAACCAGCCAATAGTAATCCCTGCTGTCAGCAATAACTTTCTGTCAATAACATAAACCCACTCCGCTTACCAAACCTTTGTTACCACAGAAACAGGAAGCCATTCTACGTAGCCAGTGTGTCCCATGTACGAACAAAACAAAAGTCGAGCACCAAACAATGTCCATGGAATCCATATTCAAAAGGGATTTTCTCAATGAGTTAAGGCGCTGGTACCAGACACATATAATGTTATGATCCCAGCTGATGTTATCACTAGACAAGCCTGAACCTGAAATCTGGCTTGATTGTCAGGGTGTTTTTTTTGGCTTTAATGAGGCAGATTTTCACTGAAACACAAGCATGCAATAAAACAAAGGTTTGTGACACAAAAGAAATGTAGCCAAGACAGAATAAACTATTTACATGCAACACATGGTTAAGGTTTTTGAAATAAACAGTAAAAATACAATCCCATTGATCCCACCGACATACCAAACACCTAAAAACAATCCCTTCTCTGTCCCACGTGGGGTTGACATAGCCATGACTTCAACTCCTCATGTTGAGAATCTGTTACAGTCTGGTTAAACTTTCTCAGCCCCACACAGCACAGAGGCAGCGTGGTGGCTCAGTGGTTAGCACTGCTGCCTCACAGCGCCAGGAATTCAGGTTCGATTCCAGCCTTGGGTGACTATCTGTATGGAGTTTGCACATTCCTCCTGTGTTTGTGTGGGTTTCCACCAGGTGCTCTGGTTTCCTCCCACAGTTCAAAGATGTGCAGGTTAGGTGGATTGGCCATGCTAAATTGCCCGTAGTGTTCAGGGATGTGTAGATTAGGAGGGTTATAGGGGGATGGGTCTGGGTGGGATGCTCCAAGGTTCAGTGTAGACTTGTTGGGGCAAATGGCCTGTTTTCACACGGTAGAGATTCTATGAACAAATAACCTCTTGGTTTTAACCAAACACTTTTGGTCTAGAACATTTAGTGAACTCCTTGCTAAAGTAAGCCATTTTTTGTGAAGTCTGAACTATTATCTCCCTTTCTTAGGAGTAACTGTTTTACACATCAAGCTTCAGCTAAGAACCCTGTAGAACTGTCCCAAACAGAGACTAAAATGCTGTTTTCCAAGATATGGATATTTACCTGAAGCCCAAAACTAAAATCTAGAATTGTTGATCTGAAATCTTCATCCTCTGGATTTTGTTCACTTGTAAACTCTCCCAATGTAACCTAATTCTCATTAGCTTCTAAAACAACCTCTGAGATTATTTTTAAAAAGACTTCACATGGCTACAGAAATACTTACAAATTAATTGTTAAATTCCTCAAGATGCACAGAAAACTAATATTCTATTGGTTCAAAGTTCAAAATGCAAGACTGAAAAATAAAAGATTTATAACTGATACACCTTACACATCAGAAAAGTTACTGGATGGGGTGGATGTTGGATTTTTCTGTAAAAACAGTTAAGATTCACTAGTTTAATGTTAATCCCAAGGGTGGTGAATGTCTGGAACAGGCTGTCAGAGGTAGTAGTGGAAGCGAGTACAATTTTGTCATTTAAAAAACTTTCAGACAGGTACATGGATGGGATAGGTATGGAGGTATATGGACCAAATGCAGGCAAATGGGACTCGTTTAAATGCGAAAACTGGGCAACATGGGTAAGTTGGGCCGAAGGGCCTGTTTCCATTCTGTAGACATTTATGACTCTATTTCTGGTCTGTCCATTTGCACATTGTAAAACTGGTTAAAGTGTGGATTGTAGTGAACACAGCCTCTGATGTGGGGGCTTGCAATGTACTGAGATAGACATTAACATTCAGCAAAGTTGCTGGAAAAGCTCAGCAGGTCGGGCAGCATCTGTGAACAGTTCTGAGGAAGGGTCACCGGACCCAAAACGTTTTTTCCTTCACAGATGCTGCCCGACCTGCTGAGCTTTTCCAGCAAATTTGTTTTTGTTCCTGATTTACAGCATCCGCAGTTCTTTCGGTTTTTATTAACATTTAGCACCTTCTAAACCCACGACCACTTAGAAGGACAAGGGTAGCAGATACATGGGAACACCACCCCCTGCAAGTTCCCCTCCGAGCCACTCACCATCCTGACTTGGAAATATATCGCTGTTCCTTCACTGTCGCTGGGTCAAAATCCTGGAATTCCCTCCCTAAGGGCATTGAGGGTCAACCCACAGCAGGTGGACTGGAGCGGTTCAAGAAGGCAGCTCACCCCCACCTTCTCAAGGGGGTTAACTAGGGACAGGCAATAAATGCTGATCCAGCCAGCGATGACCACACAGTAAGAGTGTATTTTTTAACAAGACCCATGCCCATAGGACGGGTCAGTCCCTGAGGAGCGCGGTCACTCACCTCTCATGCTTTCCCGGAGTTGTTGAATACAGGGGTTCATCAGTGGCTTTATGTTTTGTGGCTGAAGAAAGGAGTCGGCTATGCTGGGACCGAGGAGGCTTTGGAGAAACAAATAAAAAGTCAAGAGATTCTATTTATCAGCGAATGCTGGCCTACTCTCTTGTACATTTGGTAGATTGATTAGAGTACTTTAACATAACAGAAGAGTTTGCTTGGGGAGATTCACCCAGTTTGGTGGATTGGAATGAGAGGGGCTTACATTTTGTGAATAGATTCTGTTCTCTGAAGTTTACAATATCTGTTTGAAGCACAGACAATGCTGTTTTGATAGGGGTAGACCCTGAGAGATTGTTAACCGCCCCCCAGGACTGGGGGACACATTGGGGCCCTGCCTCAGGGTAAGGGGCTGCTCATTTGGGACTGAGGTGAGTTGAAATCTCTCCGCTCACAGGGCTGTGAATCTTCGGAATTCTCTCCCCCAGAAAGCTGTGGTCGCTCCAACCCTGAATTTATTTAGACCTGGGAAATTAGTTTGGAATCAGGGGTTGGGAAAAACAAGCAGAAAATTGGAGATGAAGCCTAATATCATACTGAATGGTGCAACACGCTCAATGGGCCGAATGGCCCACTCCTGCTGTTAACCTTTCTGCTGTTAAATGCAAATACAGTATAAACCCTCCTGGAAGCATACAGGATTGCCTTGCAAACACTTGCTTTGCTTCAGGAGAGAGGTGAGCTTGATGGACTGACCTTGGGTTGGGTTCTCCACTATTTTGGTGGCTTCAGAACAGCTTTGTCTGAATAAATTTTCACCGGTAAAACACTGCCATGAAAGCAAACTTTCCTCCCAATGCCCGCTCCCCCCACCCCAGCCCTGCAGACTCTTGGGCTCCAGAAGACCATGTTGTTGGCTGGTTTATTGGAACAAAGGGGAATCTGAGCTGTGACACAGCCTTTAAAGGGCCACAGCAAATTTCAACAGGCCTGCAGAAGGAGCAATGGCAATGGGTGGCTGGTGAGCGGGGTCGGGGGTGGGGGGCGCGGTTTGTAGAGGGGTGATAACAGTGGCTGGGGTGAGGAAGATATCACACTTCATTTTGAGCAGGTTAAAAATAGTGCCCTGAAAAGGAAAAAATGATTAAATTTGTGTAACGCCTTTCTCAACTCCAGGATGTCCCAGAGTACTTTAAGGCCAATGAGACACATTTCAATGAGTGGCCACTGTTGCAGTGCTGGAAATGGCACCAACCAACATGTGCACAGCAAGATCCCAAAAGAAATACACAGCAACGCGATAGTGAAAAGCCAAATCTGTTTTAGTGATGCTGGTTAAGGGAATAAATGTTGACCCAGGGTTCCAGGGAGGATTCTCCTTTGAAATATCTGGTGATAGGATCCTTTATACCCCTCCGAGAAGGTAGGTGGGAACTCCTCAATCAAAGTCATCATAATTGGTTCAATGGGCTGAGGAGTGGCGGATGGAGGTTAATTTGTATAAATGCCAGGTATTGCATTTTGGCGAAACAAATAAGGGCTGGAATTATACAGTTAATGGTAGGGCCCTGGGTAGTATTGTAGAACAGAGAGGCCTTTGGGTTCAGGTCCATAATTCTTCAAAATTTGCATCATGTATAGACAGGATAGTTAAGAAAGCGTTTAGCACGCTTGCCTTATTGCTCAGGCCTTTGAGTATAGGAGTTGGGGTATGTTTCCATGCTATATGACTCTATGACTCTAGTCTTACCAAACCAGAGGGCTGTTCTCTCATCACGGAGAGCTGGGGGTCAGTTTAGCTCAGTTGGCTGGGTTGCAATTTGTGATGAGTTCAATTCCTGCCCCAGCTGAGGTCACCATGAAGGACCCTCCTTCTCAACCCCTCCCCTTGCCCGAGGCGTGCTGACCCTCAGGTTAAACCCGCACCATCGCTTGTCTCTCTAATGAGACCTATGGTGTGATAAGACCAGGGTGACTTTACCTCCATCACCAATCCACCACCTAATAACGAAAGGGTTGGTGATGTTTGTCCATCCCGCTCCCTCACTTGCCTGTAGAGGTGCTGCTTGTACTCAGGCTCATTGTCAAACTCAGTGTCCTCTCCTGAAGACCAGGCCTGTAGCTCTGGTTCGCATCTCTCTGCTGGAATCTCTCTGTCCCTCTGGGACATCTCGCTGCGTAGGTGCAGTCAGGGAGCTCCTAAAACGTTCTTAAAAGTATGTCCACCTAACAACAATTTATATTCATGTACATCATTAATGTGGATAAAAACCTCTCAAAACAAAATAAGTGTTATCAATTAAAATTTGTTACTGAACTGCATAAAGGGTTATGAAATCATAGAGTCATACAGCACAGAGACAGACCCTTCGGTCCAACCAGTCCATGCTGACCACAATCTCAAACTAAACTAGTCCAACCTGCCTGCTCCTGGCCCATATCCCTCTAAACATTTCTTATTCATGTACCAAATGCCTTTTAGATGTTGTAACTGTACCCGCATCCACGACTTCCTCTGGCAGTTCATTCCACACACGAGCCACTCTCTATGTAAAAAAATTGCCCCCATGCCTTTTTTAAATCTTTCTCCTCTCACCTTAAAAAATGCCCTGAAAAAAATGTTCTGAGGAAGGGTCACCGGACCCGAAACGTTAACTCTGTTTTCTCCTCCACAGATGCTGCCAGACCTGCTGAGCTTTTCCAGCAACTTTGTTTTTGTTCCTATTGTTAAAAAATGCCCCCTAGTTTTTAAATTCTCCACCCTAGGGAAAAGACACCTCCCATTCACCTTATCTATATCCCTCATGATTTTATAAACCTCCATAAGGTCATCTCTCAACCTCTTACGCTCCAGTGAAAAAAGTCCCAGCCTACACAGCCTCTCCTTATAATTCAAACCCTCCATTCCCAGCAACATCCTGGTAAATCTTTTCTGAACCCTCTCCAGCTGAATAAAATCCTTCCTGTAACGGGGTTTACCAGAACTGGACACAGTACTCCAGAAGAGGGCTCATCAATGTCCAATTAACAAAGGATCAGTCAAAAAGCAAGGTTTATGGAGGAGAAAGAGGCAGTAACATTTAGACCGCATCCAGTCAGCCAGACGCATGACCATCAATAGCAGCCCAGTTAAAACTATGTGTGAGAGGGCCGGGCTAGCAGAGAGCACATGGGGTTATGAGGTTGAAGGAAGTTAAAGAGATAAGGAGTGGGTAGGAAAAGGAGGGAATTGAAAACATTGTACATAGTGCCTTTAACTCAGGGAAACATATGAAGGGCTTCACACAATCCCTGTCATACAACGCACAGTGCCAAAGGTAGAAAGGACTATTATAACAGATGCAGGTGTGTTACTGAATGAATCAAGGCTGAGGCCGTATGGAGAACCCACTGACAAATTCGTTGCGATCTCTTTGGTGATTTATAAAACACTTTACCCGTGATTATCCAACTTCAGCACAGCCTTGGCTTCTACCAGTGTGCAGGGGGCCATTCAGCCCCTCAAATTGCTAGCACTGAATCTACTGGAGGCCATTCTGCCCCTCTTGAGCGTCCTACATATAGGAGGAGCCTATTTATCTGATCCTCTCCCCCTCAAGCTGCTACATAGGAACTGGAGGAGGTCATTCAGTTCCAGGTCTGATCCATTGACTCAACCTTGCTTCATATCTCTTTAATATCCTCACCCTGCACAAACCTACCGATCTCAGATTTGAAATTTTCAGTTGAGCCTCAACAGTTTAGTTTATTTTTGGGCTGGAGTGGTGAAGAATTCTGGGTTTTTGCTGCCCATTGTGTGGAGAGCTGCTCTGTGACATCAGCCCTGACTGGGCTCACTCCAGGCTGAATGAATCCCTCCCACACACACCCTGCCCCTCTCCTCTGCTACCCCATCCCTCCCCTCCCCACCCCACACCTCCCCTACCTCCCCTCAGCACCTAAACCTACACCTCCCCTTGCCTCCCCTTCCGTCTGACACATCTCCACCAAACCACCTGCCCTCCTCATCCTGGAAACTCTCTCCACCCACCCTGTACTCTCCACAACCCTCCCTACCCCTCTTCCATTCCCTACCCCACCTCCAACCTCGCCCTGCCCCTATCGTTCCCAATCTCTTACCTCCGCTCCCCCAGACACCTACGTTCCCTACTCCCACACCATCCGCTCCTCTCCTCACCCGTCCACTCCAGAGAGAAGCTTTCTATTTGTTGACCAAAGGAGATGCTTTTGTACAATTCCAACACTCACTGGTGAGGAAGTGACACACAACGGGTTAGGAATGGAATTCCTAAATTTGGGATAAGTGGCAGTTGAGCGCATGCTGCCAATAATGACGTGGCTATAATTGGGAATGATCCAAGCTCCCCTCCAAACCAGCCAGCATCCTAGTCTGGAAGGATATCAGTTTCTTTCACTGTCATAAATCTGTCTCTCACATTTCTCTTGCTGTTACACAAACCCTAACTCTAATTGGAACTTTTCCTGTAACCCTAACTCTAACTCTAAACCAACACCTAACCCTAACCCTAACCCTAACCCTAATCCTAACCCTAACCCTAACCCTAACCCTAACTCTAACCCTAAGCCTAACCCTAACCCTAACCCTAACCCTAACCCTAACCCTAACCCTAACTCTAACCCTAACCCTAACCCTAACTCTAACCCTAACCCTAACCCTAAGCCTAACCCTAACCCTAAGCCTAACCCTAACCCTAACCCTAACCCTAACTCTAAACCAACACCTAATTCTAACCCTAACCCTAACCCTAAACCTAACCTTAACCTCTAAGGTCCGTGATTGGCAGCTGCTCCTGCAAGCAGCAGCTATGTGTTGGCGTCTTGATACTTTTGCAGCAGTAGTGCATCTCCAAGGGAACACCGACTGGATCAAAACCCTGGAATTCCTTCCCTAAGGGCACTGTGGGTGAACCTACAGCGCATGGACTGCAGTGATTCAAGAGCCAGCTCACCCCAACTACTGAATGTTCTCCTGACCTCTCTGAGGAAGTGTCCCTTAGCTCCATTTCCTGGGATCAGTCCATATTGAAGAGAATTTGTTTGTTCATGAAGCTTTCTCACCACTGAATCATGCAGAGAATATCCAGCAAAGAAACAGGTCATTCAGCCCATCAGCTGGTACTCTGCTCCACTCAAGCCTCTTCCCACTCCTTTTGACCTCATCCTATCACCAAATCCTTCTTTTCACTTCTCCCTGACTTGGTGCTTTTAGCTTCTCCTTGATAATATAGAGATCCAAACCCTTTCTCCCACCTAGACACGTTTCCAAATTTCACTCCTGAAAGGTCAACTTTGGACCAGCATCCATCAGCCACAATCCAGTAACCTAGTAACATAAACCTCTTCCCTAGCAACGTAGACCTGTATCTTAGCAACATTGACCAGTATCCCAGCAAAATGGACGTGTAGCGATCTTCGAGGTGTACCCCAGCTACAAAGGTACTGCACCCCGAGCAATATTGACCTGTACCCTAGCAACATAGACTGGTATCCCAGCGACATAGACTTGTACCCTAGTAACATGGACCTGCATCCCAGTAACATGTACTTGTACTCCAGCAACATGGATACGACTGGCTAGCAATATTGACCATTCTCGTAGCAACATGAACCCATATCCTAGCAACATCGATCTCGATCCTAGAACTGATGGAGCTAGATTGCAGCAAGTTAGCATCCTGAGGAATGTTCCTGACCTCTGGAATAACTGGAGCCCAGTAGCCGGTGTCCTGCACTGTTCCCAATCGCCAGTTCACCTGAGAACCACAGACCCAGTCATCAGTAATAAAGCAAACAGTTTGAGCTAGTCACCTGGGACACCAGCTATTAGCTCCAAAGGTGAAAACCTTTGATGTGGTTAATCATATTTTGTTTCTTAATTAGACTGCTGTTGTAGTCTTGTCAGGTTAGTGAAATAACAACTGATGTGGTATCGCAGGACTGATTTACATCAAGGTTTTGATCTTTTGGCTGTACATTGTAGGTCAGTGTTTGTTAATGAACGGGCTCTCTATACAGCAACAACATGCACCTGTTCCTCGCAATGAGACAGCACTGCCCCAAGTGAACATTCACTGTTCACGAGTCAGCTGTCGACCACATTAATCAACAATTGCAATTTTACAACAAACCAGCAGCCTCCACTTTCCCATGAATTATTCAACTTATTGAATTTAGTCTCAGGAATTTGCAATCTATGCATTCAGTGACTATGAGCGTTGCTGCCTGGGTCCAGCATTTATTGCCCGTCCCTAGTTGCCCCCTTGAGAAGGTGGGGTTGAGGGACCTTCATGAACTGCTACAGTCCATGTGCCGTGGGTTGACCCACAAAGACATTAGGGAGGGAATTCCAGGATTCTGACCCAGTGACAGTGAAGGAACAGCGATTATGTTTCCAAGTCCGGATGGGGAGTGGCTTGGAGGGGAACTTGCAGGGGGTGGTGTTCCCATGTATCTGCTGCCCTTGTCCTTCTGGATGGAAGTGGTCGTGGGTTTGGAAGGTGCTGCCTGAGGATCTTTGGTGAATTTCTGCAGTGCATCTTGTAGATAGTACACACTGCTGTGACTGAGCGTCGGTGGTGGAGGGAGTGGGGTGTTTGTGGATGTGGTGCCAATCAAGCGGCTGATTTGTCCTGGATGGTGTCAAGCTTCTTGAGTGTTGTTGGGGCTGCACCCATCCAGGGGCAAGTGGGGAGTATTCCATCACACTCCTGACTTGTGCCTTGTAGATGGTGCACAGGCTTTGGGGAGACAGGAGGGGAGTTACTAACCCTGGGGCAATGATATTGTTAGACCCTCGTCTTAGGTGGAATGTTAATCAATAGAAAATGCTCCAGAAACGCTGAACTAAGTGATGCCTTTCAGACAAAATGTTAAACAGAATTCCAACCCCTTCCCCATCGTTGTGTGTCCTCCAGGTAAGTTCCCCATGATGAAAGTTACAAAGAGTAGGGAATTCTCCCTGGGGTCCCACTCCACATTGATCTCACATTCAAATTCACAAAAGATGGAATAGCTGATTGAAGTTGTGTTGCTACATGTGGGGCCTTGCTGTGCATGAGATTGCTACATCGAGTCGGCGCCTACACTTCGATGAAAAATATTAATCGGCAGTAAAGGACTTTTGAGACACTGTGAGGTTGTGCAAGTTGCTATCGAAATGTAGCTCTCCCTTTATTTAACAAAAAATCTTCTCTAACTCTTTCTCTTTGTTTATGATTCTCCTTGAAACCTCTCCCACCCGGTCCTCAACCTTGGTGCCTCTGACTTGGTACCTTTGTCTACATGCCTCATAAAGCTGGGGGTGGGGCATTTCTCTACAAACACACCAAAACCCACATCTCCGCCTACCTTGCATTTCCAGCTTGTGTTAGGCCGTATTTCAGACAGACTCACAGAGCTGTGCAGCATGGAAACACACCCTTTGGTCCAACTCGTCCATCCCGACCAGATATCCTAAATTAATCTAGTCCCATTCGCCAGTGTTTGGCCCCTATCCCTCTAAACCCTTTCTGTTCATGTACCCATCCAGATGCCTTTTAAATGTTGTAGTTGTACCAGACTCCACCACTTCTTCTGGCAGTTCGTTCCATACACGCACCACTCTCTGCGTGAAAATATTACCTCTTAGGTCCCTTTTAAATCTTTCCCCCCTCACCTTAAACCTATGCCCTCTAGTTTTGGACACCCCGTACCCTGGGGAAAAGACATTGTCTATTCACCCTATCCATGCCCCTCATGATTTTATAAACTTCTATAAGGTCACCCCTCATCCTCCGATGCTCCAGGGAAAATAGCCCCGGTATCCCTTTAGCTCAAGCCCTCCGACCCCGGCAACTTCCTTGTAAATCTTTTCCGAACCCTTTCAAGTTTCACAACACCCTTCCAAAGCAGGATTTCCAACGTTCTTTGTGCTTGCTCTGCATTCCCAAGTTTCCCCCTTTGCAGCTCCCCACCACAGGATGAATCTTCCCATCCCACCCTGAGGCAGGTTAACGTACAGAAACAGAGCCATTGCCTGCTACCATTGAGGATATCCAACTGTTGATGTACCTGACAGAGTGCTGTCCTCTCTCTCTCTCTCCTCGCTCCCCCTGGGTCTCTGAATAACTCTTACTTCTGTATTTGGAACGCAACACCCCCTCCAACCTCCACCCCGGCCCTCACTGCTCCTCCCCCACAGTTGTCGCGACAACAGTATTATTCACCCATTTAATACTGAGTAATGATTAATGAAACGGAGGAAATGCCGCCAATCTCTAATAGTTAATAAACGCTTGTCAGAGATCCAGCACAAATTTATAATGACTTGCACTTAAGTAGCGCCATCGAGGGATTCAAACAGCACAGTCTGAGAACCACCGCACCCCCAACAATCTTCCACATTTGTTCCTGATGTGGAGATGCTGGTGTTGGACTGGGATAGACGGTGTTAGAAGTCACACTGCACCAGGTTATAGTCCAACAGGTTTATTTGAAATCAGAAGCTTTTGGAAGCGTTCCATGTGTTCACTGTGCGACTTAGTGTGTGAAATAAGAAGGAAAATGATCAAAGAGTTGGTGTCTTACTGACCCACACTGACTTTTAAGGTCAGACAACACTACATCCATCAAACATAGGAACAGAACCAGGCCATTCAGCCCATTGAGTCTGCTCTGCCATTCAGTGAGATTGTGGCTGCTCTGATAATCCTCAACTCCACTTTCCTGCCTTTTCCCTACAACCTTCCTGAGTAAAAATCTGTCTACCTCAGCCTCGAATATACTGAATGACCCAGCCCCGACAGCCCTCTGCGGTAAAGAATTTCACAGCTTCACTCCCCTCAGACAGAAGGAATTCCTCCTCATCTCCATCTTAAATGGGTGACCCTTTATTCTGAGAAGATGCGATCTGGCCCTAGACTGTCCCACCAGGGAAAACAACCTTTCCACATCTTACCTTGTCAACTCCCCTGAGAATCTTGTATGTTTCCACAAGGTCATGTCTCATTCTTCTTAGCTCCTGTGAGCACAGACCCATTCGACTCAATCTCTCCTCATCAGACAGTCCCTCCATACCCATAATCAGCCAAGTGAACCTTCTCTGGGCTGCCCTCAATGCCAGAGTACCTTTCCTTAGGTAAGGGGCCCAAAACACTGTTCCTGTCTTTACATAGAACCTGGACTGAATCAGGTTATTTTTCAGTCTGGAGGAAGCCCCACTCTTTCAGAAAGATGCAAAGGCTATAGCGAGAGTGCAAAAATAAATCCTAAAGACTTGTTCCTGGGACGAGGGGTTTGAGCGATGTTGGAGATGCTGGGACTGTTCTCATGGGAGAACAGATTGAGAGGAGGCCTGGGGAAAAGCCCTGGGGAAAATTGATGCACAGAGAGATCTGGGTGTTCAGGTCCATTGTACCCTGAAGGTGGCAACGCAGGTCAATAGAGTGGTCAAGAAGGCATACAGCATGCTCTCATTTATCGGACGGGGTATTGAGTACAAGAGTTGGCAGGTCATGTTACAGTTGTATAGGACTTTGGTTTGACCACATTTGGAATACTGCATACAGTTCTGGTCACCACATTACCAAAAGGATGTGGATGCTTTGGAGACAGTGCAGAGGAGGTTCACCAGGATGTTGCCTGTTATGGAGGGCGCTAGCTATGAAGAGAGGTTGAGTAGATTAGGATTATTTACATTAGAAAGACGGAGGTTGATGGGGGACCTGATTGAGGTCTACACAATCATGAGAGGTATAGACAGGGTGGATAGCAAGAAGTTTTTTCCCAGAGTGGGGGACTCAATTACTAGGGGTCACGATTTCAAGGTGAGAGGGGAAAAGTTTAAGGGAGATATGCATGGAAAGTTCTTTACGCAGAAGGTGATGGGTGCCTGGAACGCATTGCCAGCGGAGGTGGTAAAGGCGGGCACGATAGCGTCATTTAAGATGTATCTAGATAGATACATGGATGGGCAGGGAGCAGAGGGATACAGATCCTTGGAAAATAGGTGACAGGTTTAGATAGAGGATCTGGATCGGTGCAGGCTTGGAGGGCCGAAGGGTCTGTCCCTGTGCTGTAATTTTCATTGTTCTTTGTTCTTTGAGGCTTGATCGAGGTGTTCAAACTCACCAGGATAGAAAGGAGGTGGTGAAACTGCTTGTATTGGTGGATGTACCAAGAACCAGAGGGTACAGTCTTAAGGTCACTGGTGAAAGAATCCTTTTTAAATGCAGCAGCTGGTTAGGACCCAGAATTTAGTGCCTGGGAATGTGTGATGAGGCATATTCTGGACTTCAATGATTCAGTGATGAAGAGAGATTATACAAATTAGGCCTGTTTTCTCCAGAATTCAGCATTTTAAGGGGTGGTCTAATCAAAGTCTTTGAGATATTCACAGGAAAAGACAGAGTAGCTAAAGATAAACCATTTCCATTGGTTGGGGATTCTAGAACTAGAGGGTATAGTCTGAGAATTAGGGCCAGAAAGATGTTAGGAAGCACTTCTACACGCAAAGTGTGGGAGAGATTGGGAGCTCTCTTCCACAAACAGCAGCGGATTCTGGATCAGTTGTTAATGGTATATCTGAGATAACTTTCTGTTAAGCAAAGGTAAAGGGTTTTGGGCCCAAAGGCAGGTATATGGAGGTAGGCCCCAGCTCAGCCACGGTCTTGTTGAATAGCAGAACAGACTCAAGGGGCTGAATGGCCTACTCCTGTTCCTATGATTCAAGCACAGATTTTAAAAGGGAATAAAATAACTGTTTGAAATGAAAACGTTTGCAGGGCCACCAGGAAAGGGTGGTGTACTGGGAGAATCGCTCCCACAGAGAGCTAGCACAGAGACGATGGGCCAAATGGCGTCCATCTGTGCTGTGACCATTCCCCGATTCCACAAAGTTGTGTCAGAGTGACCTGGGGTTGGCTGTACAGCGTATAACAAAACACTCAGGAATGTGGTCATTATGAGACAGTCAGACCTCAGGGTAACAGAGACAGACTGGTGATGTGGGCAGACCTGGGTCAGGTACAGTTTAACAGAGGGGAATGCCAGGGTGATATGTTTGGAAAGGAAAAGGAGGAAAAAGGCTAAATAACAAAATAAAAAACTACGGTGTTAGTGGGTGCTGCAGGACTGGAGAGTCCTGGTGTGTGTTTGTGTCTAATCTTTACAAGTGGCAGAGTAGGCTGAAAACTTGTTAAAAAGTAAACGAAGCAACATCAAGTACAAAAACAAAGAGATTATGCCAAACTCTGCTGAACTTTAATAGATTGCCTTAGAGATAGAGGACTGGAATACAAAATCCAGCCAGCTAGGGCAGTAGGCCACTGAGCCCATCAAGGCTGATCAAGGTGTTCAAATCCCAGAAGGATTAGAGGAAATAAGGAGGCACTGTTTTCAATGGAAGGAGGGTCATTAACTCAGGACAATAAAGATCGATGGTGAAAACAGCCAGATGTGAGGAGAACATGTACGTTTTAAGCACAGTGGGTTACAGCGATGGGGCACAGCCTGTCAATCAGACCAGTGTAAGCAGATCAGCAGGAACTCCTAACAGGCAATTGGACCAAAGAGATGAATTCAGAGGGCCGTGGGGAAAGAGCAGGGGAGTGTGGCTAACTGGAGAGACAGAATAGGCACAATGGGCCAAATGGGCTCTTTTTATGTGGCACGAGTCTGTGAAACTGTCAGATATTAAAGGAAGAAGCCGATAATAGCCTCGAAGTGACATAGCTGAGGAAAATACGCTCCAATCGGCTGGTGGTTTAGGGATTGGGTGGGGGGGCGGTGTTCACAGAGGTGGGGATGGGGCGGTAACAGAGATGGGCCTGGGATGAGGCTGGAAGTTGGTGTTGGGGAAGAACGTGTTGCCATAACGAGAGGCATTGAGTGGAAATTCTCTGCCTACGAGGGACAGAAGCTGAGGCATTGAATAATTTCAAAAGTTACAAATGAGTGGAACGAAGTGGCAGAGGTTATGGGAGGAGAGATTGGGGGAAATGGGGCCAGCTGGATCGTTCCAGAGAGCGGGAGCACGGAGCCAAAACGTTGTGGGCTCAGGTCTGCTTAATCCCCATGAACATATGGATCCACCAATTAGCTTGGACAGTCCAGCCCAGATTCTCACAGGTGTTGATCTGGCTCAGGAAGTGCTCACTAGCTGTCTTCTCATCTTTCCCAACAGCCAGAGCCTCCCTCAGGTACTGGATATCCTTTACACAGCTCAGCTCCGGGATTCCCGTCAACATCATCAGGGAGAAGAGAGTCACCAGTAGATTGGAGTGGAGGCGTAGGCTCATGTAGGCCTGAATGCAGATATCCTACAGACACAGAGAGCGAGAGTTCACAGGTTAGCTGCCTCGCTCCACACTCCACAATCCCATCGGAATTCTGGAGAAACGGCTCAAGGTGTTGCATGCAAACGCTCAGTGTCCTGGTACTCTCCCTCACCAAACTAGATCCATCCAGGATAGACAGTGGTCCCAGCACAGATCAGAGATGGAAACTTAAAATATCAAAGAAAGGAATACCAGAGATGGGATACCAAAGACAGGAATACCAGAGTCCGGAATACCAGAGATGGGAATACTGGAGTTTGAAATACCAGAGATTGGAGTACCAGAGACTGGAGATTGGAATACCATAAACTGGAATACCAGAGATCGGAATACCAGAGACCAGAATCCTCAAAACAGGAATACCAGAGACCAGAATCCTCAAAACAGGAATACCAGAGACCAGAATACAATGGGCAGAATGAAACCAGAGATTGGATAATAAGAGGTTACAATACCAGATTCCAGAATTCTGGATCCAGCACTAAAGTGTGTGCTACTCCAGTCTTGGGTTTTTGGAGACCAAATAGGTTGGAACATTGGAATCTGTAATATCAGAGGCTGGGATACTGGAGACCGGAATACCGGAGACCGCAGGCCTGGGCAGTGAAATACTACCCTGTACCTACCTCCCAATGGATCATCCACAACATCCTGCCCTCTGTAATTCCCAGACCGCCCCCTGCTCCTCACCTTGAACCTCTGGAAGTAGAGACTGGATCGTCTGTTCACACGGCCCATCACATACAGGAAGTCCGGGGTCAGGACAAAGGGAACTCTTTCCCGGTTCACTCCCAGAATCCTCTTCGTGTTGCCCAGGATGTGACCAAAGTCAATATGGAAGAAATTACCTGGGAACCAGGAAAATGGGAAAATAATGTGATCCACAGCTGCTAATCACTCACCAAAACCAATCAGGAACGGGAATCTGGAGAGAGAGGATGTGATTGGGGGAATACAGGGAGAAGGTCCTGAGGAAGGGTCAGTAGACCCGAAACATTAACTCTGATTTCTCTCCACAGACACTGCTGGGCCTGCTGAGTTTTTCCAGTAATTTCTGTTTTTGTTTGTGAGGGAGAAGGTGGGATTGGGAGATACTGGGAGAGTGTGGGATTGGGAGAGGGGTTGGGATTGGGAGAAGGGTTGGGATTGGGA